GGGGTTGGGGCAGTTTAAATACAGCAGGAGTCTGCTGGTCTTGGCTTCAGCCTTGGAAGTAAGTCAGTCTGGATATATTCTAAAGAAGGATGCCAACAGAGAAATCTCCTGCCTTTCAAAATCCCAAACTCTTTTCCTAAAAAATGTTGTATGTTGACCTCAGAAGCTAAACCACAGGAGCAAAGTAAATGTACAAGCTTTTTCAGCAGCAACAAGGCATCTTACAGCTGCAGCAATAAGAGCAGTGCCTTTACGGATCTGACACATTTGATCATCTGACCGTGTTAAGAGGTTTAAAACTTTAATGGTGAGTCTAGTGTAAAAAGGCAGAAGTGAAAAAAAAAGAAGAAAAACCTCCTGTTAGCAGTTCAGAGATCTTCCAGACCCAAATAACCAGATAAAAATGTTTTAAACAAAAAAGATCAACACATTATACAGGCTCAATTTCTCTATAAGAACTATACTTACAGTGCAATTCACCATAAACATTAAAAAACATTATATACTCAATGTAAAGTTTATGTTCTACTGTAAAAATATGCAAATAAATCATATTTTATACCAAATAATGATTCCACATGGAGATGTGCTGTGTGACATTGTCATATAATCAAGAAGGGTTTCTTTTGTACGGTTTTCCTTCTCACAGGGCTGCTGGTAGTTCTTCATTATTCATGATGAGAGACAGAAAAAACAGAGCACTTACTGCCTCACCAGCCTCCACCTTCCTGCGCTTGAACGCGAGAGACTGTGGAGTGCGCTGAGTGTGAACACACAGGGAGAAATCGAGGCATTTTAAGGGCAGGATTTCACATCGTGAAAACCAATATCCCCAGTTGTGCCTTTATTTTAATCAATAAAGATATTAATCAAGCAGGAAAACATATATCCTAAATAAGAATGCTTAGACAAAAGCCTTCCCTTGTGTTTTTTTTCTGCATTTTGTCACAGCCGAGAGGAAGTGTTACTGTGTTCGTAAATCTTCCTTATTCCATTGACGTGTTTTCTCTAAGCAGGATGAATAAGCAGCGTTTTCTGAAAGAGACTTGCATTGATTCAAGGTGCTGATGCTGCTCTCCTTTGTGATGCGAGTCCAGATCAATACCGGTTCTGCCAGGAGTTTGTACCGTAGCTTCACAGTCATAGAGGTGAGACACGAGCGTGTCTCTGCATGCAAAGGATGGGAGAAAAAAAAGAAAACACTCACGCACACACACACAGACACACACACACACTTTGGAGTTGATCTATAAAGTATACACAGTCCTGTTCAAATTTCATACAGTCAGGAATGAGTGTAATACATCATTTTCAGGGGTTTTTTTTTGTGTGTGTTTTTTTACATTTTATGTGGTATCATTTACATTTCAAACAAAAAAACATTAATTGGGGAAAATTAATCAAATAAAACAGTAGGGATATTTATTTTTGGTCTGTTAACATCTTGGCACTTTATGCCGTCACATGGACAAAATAGGACACCCTGTGATGGGGAGCCAAAACGTGAATATATCATAGGAAAGTGAACACAATGGTAATAACGTCGGAGCTCAAGTGCCAACATACCGAGGTCGAATAGAATAGAATAGAATAGAATAGAATAGAATAGAATAGAATAGAATAGAATAGAATAGAATAGAAATTCCTCTATTGTCACACAACAGTGACAAGTCACAGGCAACCAAATGAAATAGAATCACACAAAGGTAGAATATAAAAGATATAAAAACAGAATAAAGAATAAAAATACTGCAGAGTTAGCGCAGATTTTCAACATGAATACTGTGCAGTTATTCAAAATAGCTGCTCTGTTCCAAAGAAGTGTGACAGTGGACAGGTTGATTTAAAAGTGTTCAAACTGTGTGCGTGCGTGTGTGTATTTGATTATTAAAAGATAGGCTATTAAAAGACAATCCATTCTGAGAGCCGACTGCAAGATACTAAAAGAAGTTACCAAAAATCCTAAGAACCTGCAGATGCAACACAGCAGTTTGTGTGTTGCATCTACAATCAGAAAGAGGAACCCTTTGGTCTCTAAGAAAACTTGACGGCCAATTTGTCAACATTAGCGCAGAAAAAGACTTTTGCCTTATGTTCTTTACATAGACATCTAAAACTGAATAATTTGGACACCAGAACAGAGGATGTGTTTGACTTAAACCAAATATATCACTGCAGGGTGACGAAGGGAAGGCTTCCAAGATTTGGAAACCTCGGAGTCTGCATCAGAGGCTGTATGTTGGAAATGTTGACCCATCTGTAAAAAAAACAAAAAAAAACAAATAAAACTGAAACAGAGCTGAAATCTGTGACATGACAATGACCTAAAACATACTTTTAAATCCACTAAGAACTGTATGAGAAATAAGAAGTAGAAAATTTTGGGAGTGTTTCCTCCATTTGCTATTTGCACTTTAATGCATTCCTTCTCCTGACTGCTTCCTCTGAGCAACGAGGTCATTTTAATTATTTGTTACAACTCAGCAAACTGTGGCTTTAGATAAAAAGATGCTAAAAAGAACATTTGAAGAAAATCTCACTGGGACAATTGATTTTTATTTCAGCATCATCAGACTCACTATTGTTGGTAGCAAGAAGAAAACATAGAATTGAAAGGTGTTCAAATAAAGCATGTGCAAAACAATGGTAAATGTACAACTTTTAATTGAAAATAGCTGAAGGCATAAACACCGGTCAGCATTTCCAGTGCAGTGATTTATGATTTATGATGGCTTGCCAGCATCGTCAGAGAGGTGGGAACCCCCACCTCCAGAGGCCTGCAGGAGCTACTTCATCAAGCTCTTTTATCTCCCTGTCCTTCTGTAATCCTATCTAACACTGAGCCAATCCCAGCTCTGTAGATTCAAGTGTCAATTAACTGAAGAGAGGCAACACTCACACTCTTGAGTCATTAAGAAAAGCAAAAAAAAAAGGGTTTTCTTAAACTGAAAGAGGCAAAGGCGAAACATGCATTACTGTTCAACCAGTGTTTTAATAGCACTTTATCTTTGAAATTGACTTACAAAAAAAAAAGCTGTGTAATTTAATAAAGATGAGGGGGAGGAACAGCTCTGTTTCCTGATGTGTTGCAAAGACAAGCCTGCATGAGCCGTTCCTAAGAATTGATCAGAGAAGAAAGTCTTCATGTGGAAGCTCTGAAAAGTGACATTTCATGTTTAATTTAACCTCATGACTTTGCTCTGTGGTCTGGTGCTTCAATTGACTAAATGTTGAAGTGACACTTTTCTGTTGTTGTAAACTCCAAAAGCTGTAGCCCACCAGAGTCCATTTTTAATATGCATCGCCTAAGTTGGCTTTTAGTTGTTGTTGAAGGAAAGAGACGTAAAAGGACTGGATTGTGCGAAGTGGAATGGTTCCTGATGTGGGGATGGACCATTCCACATCATGATTGTTACCTTGTGAAATGTTATAAAAGTTTATGTTCTGACCCGACTGTAGAAAGTATTAACAGCAGTGGTGCTAATTAATGAAACACATGATTTTATGCAAAAATGATTCATTTTTGCATGAATCTGGTGAAGAAAAAAAATCAATTATTTTTTCTTGCAAAAAAAGAATCGATTTACTCCACGGCGACAGTGATAAGCGTTCGCCCTGCAATTAGAGGGTTGCCGGTTCAATTCCCTTTCTCTTGTTGTGTCTTTCTGTCTTACTGCCCCAGGGCAGCTGTGGCTACAAACCTATAGCTTATCAGCATGTGAATGGAAATAACTGATTTCATTGTAAAGCACCTTTGAGGGTTGAAAAGTGCTACATAAGTTTTATTTTATAAGGCTTTTTATACATCTTCACCGGAGATGCAAGTAAATCTTCAGAGCAGTATTGTTTATGATTTTCTTTCATGATAATTTCTTTTTTTATTTTCATTTATTGTTTTTTGTGACTATTTTCATGATTTCATATTATTTCAAAAGGTCCATGGGATTATTTTATGTGAATTTAATGTTGATTTAATGGTAAGCTAATAATAGATTAAAAACAGTTGCGAATGAAAGCGTGCATCCATTTACAAGTGACATGAGCATGCATGAGATTAATGCATTTCATTTGAAATGAACATGGTATTTCTGACTCTACAGCTCATGAAACCAGCAGACGATACAATAAGAAGGAAATAAAGGCAGAGAAATTACGCATGCAAGCTTTTCTGTTTTAAGACTCCCAAATGAAACTGCAGAGCGAGGACTTGAGGCTTCCCATTCATCATGTCTCACAAGCATACACATAAATCACCCTGTCTCCGCGTCTGTGGTGAAAATAAAGCGATATACATACAGCATAAAAATGAATTACAGCACCTTCGCAGTGTTGTGCTCTCTTCTGTTCCGATTGGCCCGGCAAGGCACAATCCTCCATCAATCCCGAAATGCCAATCTGAAAAAGAGCATTTCACCAGTGACAGCTGGGAATAGTTTTTTATTGGCATTGCACCCTTAAAGGGTAGTGGACGAATTAAACAGCTCAACAGTGTTGCACTTGTTCTCTTGTTCTCTAAAGATTGAAATTGACGTGCTTAATACTTTAATGTGAAACTATTGAAGAGAAGGTGTAGTTAAGCTGGAACAGTCCCTGGATTTTACAAAGGTAAACTCTAGGTGATTTTTAGCTTGTCGAAAGACTCCAACATGTAAACAAAATGTGTGCAGTGTCTAGCAAATGCATGAATAATCCTACCGTGTCGGGGTTTTCTGGCCAATCAGAGATCATCAATCTTTAAAAAGCCCGACCTGTTGATTTCAGTTTTGGCCGATACCGATTTTTTTCTCCCGAAATGTTGCTAAACATAGCACGTAATTCACCAATTGGTAATAGCGGGGTGACTGCTGTTTACTGTGAGCATGTCGATATGACCTTGTGGGTTGGTCTGTCAGTCAAACTTTATTCATATTTCATTTGTTCTGAAAGTTTCGTGTCAACAACCAGACTGATAAATCGAGGATATTGTTGGATTGAAAGTTTTTTTCTTTTGTGTGTCCCAGTCCAGAAACAGTCTTCAGAACGGGGACGTCGACGGGGCCAGGAGGCTGGGTCGACTGGCTCGCCTGCTGAGCATCGTCTCCATTTTCCTGGGAGTGCTCATCATTGTCGTCTACACCACAGTTCACTTTTCAGGTACACAAACATCGCTGACCCGATATTTCAGAGCCTAATAGCACTCCAACACAATCTAATCATTGCATGAGATTCACTTAGCACAATTTAAAGACACCAACAGGCAACACTTTTTCTATCAAGAAAAGCCCATCTAATTGCATTGATTTGGATAAACATTACATGTGAAATCTTTTCCCAAGTGTGCTTGACATTTGCATACAACTATGTAAGATCCAAATCATGTGTTTACATGTTGAAACGCAATATGATTCCCACCCATGAGTACAACTGGAAGGTTTTACATGTAACGGCACAATGTCATTTCCTTCCTTGGAGTAGTATAAGAACATTTCACATCAAGGTTTTCTAATTTGCTTTTCATGTTTCTGATAAATTAAATTGCGAGATCTGAAACATTATATTATTTCCACAAATGAAAGAGATTATTTGTTGTCTTTTTTAACTTGGATGCCTCACACTGAGTCACACATTTAAAATGTTGTTGTTCTTTTGTAGAAAGTGACAAGGACAATGACGACTCGATCTATATGTTTTAACATGTTGCTCCACAATATAGTTTCCACATACTACACATTAGTTTGCAAATTATCACATGTGAAGTAATATGGGAAACCATTTCAGATGTGGAAGAATGACTCTTCATAAAATAGTTTTTCTGTAATGTTAAGACTAAACAAAAAGAAAAGTTAGCAAAAAGGCAACAAAAAAACATCAACGAAAAAGACCATAAGAGAGCCTTTAAGTAGCCGGCTTGAAAAGATCACAAGACCATGTGACTCAAAAGTTGCATCAAATAAAAAATAAAAAGTAGTTTAGAGCTTCAGCAGATTACTGTATATACATCTCCTGCTCCTCTATAGCACATAGTACGAACTGACTTAACACTCCTTTCTCTTTTCACCCTCTTCCTTTCTTTTCCAGCTCTTAACTGACAACCGTGAGGAACTCTGAGAAAATAAAAACACGACGTCAAAGCCAAACCACAGATATGGAGTATGGTTCCGTACTCTATGCCATGAAGTTACAGCATCAAGATTAACTTCAGTTAGCAAAAAATGTAGACAAGTCATGAATGACTGTCATGCAACAAGTAAACCAATAAAAGTATATATATATCACTGAAAGATGCATGCATTAGATCCCATTATCATTTGCCTGACAGAATATTCTGCTTTTGAATTGTTCGAGTTTGAAAAAGAGAGGAAGGAGTGAATGCAGATTTGTGTGATTATTAAAGGAGGATGGTTTCTCCTGTTTGGACAATGGACTTCTGAACATGAAGAGGATGATTTGTAAATGTGAAGCAGATGAATGATGGACTTTTCTGTGTCTGCGAGGGGGCTTCTTTAAAATACAGTCTTTGAACTTCAGACGGCTCATTTAATCTCCATATATCCGAAATGAACGTCTTGCACTCGAAGTATACACAAGAAAAAAATATATATATATTTGAGGTAAGGGGATCTATAAATGAATAAATAGTTTTGATTTTATAAAATGTTTGTATCCCAAGTGTTGCTGGGCTTGTTGATGTCGACTGGATGACTGCTTCGTCAGCAATTGGAAAGAAGGGGGGGGGGAAAATCGATGTAAATTTTAAGGGTTTGTGAAAGAAAAACATTTTTTTTGTCTTGAATCATTTTGTTTTCCAACTTAAGAAAAATGAGACCAACTGCATGCCTGAATGTAGACATCCCAATACTCTGCCTTCTTTTAGACTGTTATTGTTTGTTTCCTATCCTTAAGGGACGGACAGGTTTGCGCATTGAACCGTGTTTGTGTATTTTGTCCTTGTGGACAGTTAAAAGCACGTCTTGCACCATATATGAATCAAGCCTTTATTACAAACACTCTTCTCCCCCAGTTTCATCCGACCTTTCATCTTTGCAGAGTCTTTTTCACATTTCCAAACTTTTAACACATTTTACATCGCTATACTTTGACTGTTAGGAACCATCCTTTTACCGGACGTGTTACCATTCTTCTTGTATGGCTATGTAATGTATTTATATGGAAAACTATATATGCAATACCTTCGCATGTAAAAGGCCAAGCAGCCTGACACGCACTTATTTTTGTAAAAGAGCAAGTCTACGAGTTTGCCTAAGAATAAATAGCATTTAAAAAGACTTACTCAAAATCATGGCACGACACGTTGTCTGGGTTCGTCACTTTAAGAGAAAACTCATTACTGTGTTTAGACTCATGTAGATGTTGTATTGACATATGACAAGGCTTATGCTCCAAAGCTCAGATAAAAATCCATGAATCATGATGCATTATTCAATAGAGTTGTTTTTCTTTTGCTGTTAAAGTGTCTTTTTTTTTTTTTTTTACCCCATTAAAACTAAAATGCATTTAACTGGATGCCATTTGCTGAATTCTAATGGTCATTTAAGGGCTTTTTACAATTGAAACAATACAGCAAATACAATCCAAAGTCCTTGAGTGAACATCAGCAATGTAAGTTGCAGACTTGAGTCATAGCTGTGCAGAAAAAATAATAATTATTATAATAATACTCCATATGAACATCCAGAAGCAGCAAAAGTCCAAAGACTCCCCATGTTTACTGACCGCAGCTCCCGATTCACTTGAATTTTCTTCTTCTGTGGTGCTGGTGTTTAGGAACCAGCTGTTCACCTTTCACCTCTATTATCACTGTTTGGGTTTTTTTGTTTTTTTTATATTATACTGTATGTGATGGTTTTCACCTCTGTGGTGTACTTTTTGCATGTGAGGAATAAATGTTACCATGCATGGTCTGAGTTTTGTGCTTTGATGATAACTTCCAGATTTAAAAGATGCCTGGACTGCCTGTAAGTTTAAATGTCAAATGCTATATGCATACAGCTCCCTATGCAGTCACTGGAACCCCTGGTGGAGATTTAAAAAGCTGTAAAATAAAAATAAAATATTTCTTGTTGCAGTACCATAATATCACACGAGACAGTTCAGAAAATCACAACTTTAATTTGCAGACATTTAATTATTGAGAAAATGTTTTTTACAACCTCACCACCAGTGGCTCACTTCCTGACTCCTGAACGTTTCATTAATAATAAAGGATTGAGACAACAAAACTGGAGCATTTTTTTTAAGTTTGTACTTTAATCAGATCATTAGAATGTGTTGGAACTCATATTTTAATGGGGTTTTATGTGACAGACCAACACAAAGTAGTGCATAATTGTGAAGTGGAATAAAAAAATAGCACATATTTTAAAACCTTTCCTGAAAATGGACCTCAAAGCTACATTTTCCTTCAGTTCCAGCTTTAATCCTTTAGGGGTTTGTTTCTACCAGCTTTGGATATTTTTGCCCATTTTTACCTTTTGTGGACCTAGATTTTGGTATGGACTTTGACTGGACCATTTTAGCACCTCAACATGCCTTGATCTAAACCATTTCATTGTGTCTAATTTCCTTGTCCTGTTGAAAGGTGGACCTCTGTTCCACTCAGATTAGTTTCAGCCTCGCTCAGATTTTTCCGTCCCTGATGAAGTACGGCTTTCCCACAACATTGTTCTCCTACCACTATGTGCTGCAGGAGTGTCAGAAAATTGAAAAATATAGATGTGAATGTTTTACATTTATGAAAAACTGAAATTCAACTTTATCTTTTAATTTGATCAAAGCATTATGAATATCCAACAAAACCTTGAAGCCACAAAAACATTTTTTTCACCTAGCTGCCCGATCCATTGTTACAAAACACATCACTACTTTTAATATTTTCATGGTAATTTTTCAGACTCAGAACGAAAGGTGCAAGAGGGTTTTTTTGTGCTAAATCCAATATATTTCCATTGCAGACTACTTTAGCTGCAGTCCCGATCCTATGGATTGGAGTACAGCACAAAGCTGCTGCGTTTATTGCATATAACCCTGAACACAAAGCAGTTTCTGATAAACAATATTTATCATGACTGCAAAAGATTCAGATGGCAGAAGAAAGTGAAGTAGAGAAAAATATAATTCATGGCTGTCCCATGAGGGACAGGAGTGGCCTGATTGTCCACCTGTACATAAAACGTCCCCCTTGCTCCACAAAGACACTGACCAATAAATATCGCCTTGGACAAGTGACGAAAGCCACAAAACCAGAAATGCTTCAGGTAAATATCTTCTCTGGAGCTGGCGGGGCAGAACCCGTGCAGGAGCCCGGATACATTCAAATATTTAAGAGCTGCACCTCCGCCGTCATCTTACATCCATGTATAAAAGTCAAAGCTGGCTTTAGTACACGGTTTGCCTCTTAAGAGCACCGTCACGATGTGAATGACATCTAAAGAGTGAAAACCTTTCATAATCCCTCAGCTCGTCTATGTACAAAGAATCTGATGGAGGTGAATAGAAGAATATTTCATTGGTGTTTTATCTAATATACCAACACAAATTCAAGCAACTCATGAGGTAACAACTTAAAAATAAACTTGTTTTAAATATAGAAATCTGAAAAGTGTGGCGTATTCTTACATTCAGCCCTCTTTAATCTACATGTCTACATATAGAGCCCTCTTCTGTTTAAAATTATAGCTGCAACTCTTGGTACATGCAGTAGAGTTCACATGCATTCACACTGAATAGAGAATGTCAGTGAGATAGGCTTGCTTTTAATAAGGAGGGGAAAAAAACAACATAACCAGAAACAATAAGACCGGGTAGCGTGCCATGGTTTCTGAATTGTAACCATGTACCAGAAAGTTATGCGGTAATTCAAATCAAATTTCCTTTTCAGCAACATTATCATTAATAAAATCAGCTACATTCTAGAAAAGCACTGAGTATTTGTTATATTATCAAAAAGCTAAATTCAGCCTAATGTTGCCAGTCAGCATCATACCAAGATTTACATTTGAATTGCCAATTTAATTAACTTAGCATCTGCTTGTCAGAAAAAAAATACATTTCATAAAGAACTGCCAATAACTTTAGGCAGGAAAGGTTAAGAGTCCGTGCTAACTTTTTAGCATTACATGTTTTTAAAGCTCAAATAGAACATTTTGTACATTTTTATACACAGTTGCACAGTCCTTCGGTTCAAAGACTGCTACCTTTTAATAACTGAAAATCTTTTTTGTTGTGTAGTCTATAGTATGACATTCTTAATTGTTTTTATACTTTTATCTTTGTGTGAACCAACAGGCTTTCATTACGACCAGGTTGAGTCATAATGAACAGTATTGAATGTGTTTGTACCTACTGGTACTAAACCTTTGTCAGAAACGGCTCATCTTAAAACAACAAAATAACAATTAACTCACTCCACAGTTTTTAAAACACATACTGATATGAATAATTTATTAATTCACATTTTACAGTTTACAATGAATTATGACTCCCCAAAATTATTAAAAATAACAGAAAAAGAAAAAAAAGAAATCCTTCAACCTCCTTACAAGACAGCTTCAGTCTCTGATCTTATTAGAAAAAAAAGCACAAAGCTTGTCCACAAACAAAAATTAACTGGTCTCACTTGTACTTTTGGTCTCCATTTCCTTGTGGGTAAAAGAAGAAGAAGAAGCGACTACCAGCCCTAAATCGGTCTCGTTGTTAAATGCTGGCTCAGTGGGAACTTGTTGGCCAAATTTGGTCCTGTCCTAGAACAGGACCAGCGAAATGTCTCTCTGCTCTGGATCCTCCGTGGTCCTTCGATCACTAGGCGTGATTGAAGGACACGCCCAGTCCTTCGAATCCTCACCTCTTCTCTGGGGAAGAGGTGAGGATTCATATGCTACAAAGAGCAGAGGAGTCCTGCCTTGTTAGAAATCATCTGACCGGGGAGGTTAATGGGAAGCATAGAGCAGGAGGAGAATGGTGCAGACGCCGATCACAGTGCCGAGGATGAGGGAGTCCCTTCTCTTTCGCAGATTGATTCGCTGGATGAGACTGTTGATAGTTGGGAAACGATCTGAGAGTCAAAATGTCAAAGAAAATATCAAATGAAAACCCACTGTACTACCAGTGCATAATGTCGCTCAATACATTTGATCAAGTCTACTTTTCTGTTAAAACGACAAACAAAAAAACAGGTTGTTAAATAGCAGCAGCAACTTTGTGTTCCTGCACACACAGGGAGACCCGTGTGGAGTGTAAAGGATACTGGCCAGAGTGTTCACCCTGCTGTGTATGGATTTCAGCATGCCCCTCTGTGAGGTCATGTTCTCCTTGGTCGCCATTGCAATGCTGAAGAAAGAGACAAGATAAATGAGCAAGAGGCAATACTGCAACATTTTAATAAAGTGCCATTTTACTGCAAACAACACAAAATTGAATTCCAGTGTGAATTTTTGCCTTTAGAGATGTAAAAGAAAATGTATTATCCTTGATACAAGGAAATCTTTGACCTACCAAAGCACATCTTACATGATTCTGAGGTTCTTTTAAGAAATATAGATACTAATATTTGCATAATATCAAAACCCTTCATGCACTTCTCCTTTAGCTTTTCTGTTCTGAAAATGCTGCTCCCTCTTCCAGCTTGAATGGACATAAATGATCATTTGAAAAGGATCAGAAGTCTCATTTATAAAACTTCTTCTATCGTAGAAGAGATAGTGGAAGTGTACATTGGCGTACACCAAAAAACAAATCCAGATTTCTAAAACAATTAACACCAAAAAGCAATTTTCCCTTTCAACCACAATTGGTCAAAGTAAAGTACTTCATGAATATTGAGGTATATTTAAATGATTCAGCCGATCAACGTTATTTAATGGTCATCAACAAAATGAGCGTATGTATAGGTCAGAGAATGCGTGAGGGAACGCACATTCTCCCATCAAGTTTTGTTTTTTTTTCTTAAAACACAACCTTTGCATGGAAAATAACATACAACTATGTCTTGTCCACACACCACGCATAGAAAGGAGACAGCAGATCTTTTAGTTTCCACCACACCGGTCAATGGTGAAGCCCGATCAAGCATTAATTCTCTGATTTCTTAATGAATCTCCAAACTTTGGAGTTCCACTGCTATTTTGGGCCCCTCTTGCTCTCAAATCTGGACTTCAGCAAGTTTCAAAGGACGAAAGTGCAACTGAGGAAAAGTTTCAGCCAGAGTCTTTGGCATCTGATAGACACACCAATCAATAGAAGACACTGAGCCAGTCTTTGAATCCTTAACTAATGCATTAGAGTTTGGTGGACCAGCCTTGATAAATATTACAATTATATTTATCAGCTATTATTAATTACTTTGGACATGGCTAAATATTTCAGTATTTTCAGGATAAAAATCTACCTCTCCCACCGCAGGAAGACAGATTCATAGAAGATAAGCCCAATGACATCACTGCAGTTGTTTACCTGAAATATTTGTTGTAACCGAGTGACATAAAAAAAACACAGTCAGCATAAATTTTCAGCGTGCAGAAGGAGATATGAGTAGGAGTACGGGTGGGCGAGGTCCCGGCCCCTCCTGTGACTGCAGACTGCTGAAGGTACGGTCCGCAGCGTTGGCCTAGAGGTGTGTTTTAGGGATCATGTTCCCCTAAGTCAGGAGGAAACGCTTTGCTGACTCCAGCAACCTCGATCAGCCCTGATCTGTGTGTAAACCACCTCATGAGAATAGTGACTCAGAATAAGGATACACTATCAAGACTTTTTGCAAAAAAATCAGCCTAACCCTAGCAGCAAAATATATTAACTGTGCAATATTAGTCAAAGCTCATGGAAGATGGGAGAGGTTTTTAAAGCAAAATACAAATTCACACATAAGACAGATGCTGAGGTTTACCTTATTGTGTCATCCATCAGCCGG